TTAATTTAATTGAGAAACACATATCAATGAGACAGTTTTCAAGCTGATTAATAGGACAGTTTCGATAATCAATATGTTGTACATTGTTATCTTCTTAGTAGTTATCTATAGTATGAGAAGCAGACAAGATATCCTGTCCAAACACTATTAGTACACCTCTTTCTTCTCACTGAATTAAGCAAAAGTAGCTGCATATCTATCCTATTTTGTATATATAAATACAAAATGATCTTTCCTTTGTATCCCCCCCTTTTTTTTCTATTGGCATCTAAACACTATAGGTGTTTGAATTCAACTAAACAATCTAACATTGTTTGGCAGTCTTTAATATTAGTGGGTTATCCTCAGAAGTTATTGACTTGAGCCTTTTACAGCTCATCGTATTAATATTAGCCAATAGATTTCAAATCTAGTTGTCCATCAAATTTCCCAGAGAACATATTAAAACACACTTTTCTAGATTCCCAGTCAAGACTAACTCAGATGATGTTAATATTAGCATAGTATAGTACCTTTTTTACAAGAATGTCAGGATTTAATGTAATGTAGAATATATATAAATTTTAATTTTTTGATATAAGCGCAGGGGGTGGGCCGGCGGGCTGGTCGCTGGCCTCTGAGCTCGGGTCTGCAGGGTGTGCGGGCGCCATGTCCGGCCGTGAAGGTGGCAAGAAGAAGCCCCTGAAGCAGCCCAAGAAACAGGCCAAGGAGACGGATGAGGACGATAGAGCGTTCAAACAGAAGCAAAAGGAAGAGCAGAAGAAACTTGAGGAGCTAAAAACGAAGGCCGCGGGAAAGGGCCCCCTGGCCACAGGTGGAATTAAGAAATCTGGCAAAAATTAAACTGTTCCTTGTGTGTACAATGATGACGACCCTGGATTCCAGTCCTATTCAGATATCTGGATGCCCTGCCATAACATCTCTTGACACCTATAACTACAGTGAAGTGTGTTCTTGGAGTCTGTTGTACATGTAAGAATAAAATTTTATATTAAAAAAAGAAAAAGAAAAAATATAAATTTTAATTTTTTAAATTTAGGTACCAGGTATTGAACTTGGGACCTTGTGCTTGCCAGGTAGGCACTTATGTCACTGAGCTATCTTCCCAGCTCTTATATATCTCATATATATATATATATATATACACACACACACACACACACACACACATATATCAGTATATATATCAGGTTAATTTTATTTTCTAGCAAGGAAATTAGCTTTATGAGGTACACTGCAACCAGAAACCTAACCTTTAGCTTGGTAATAGATTTTTGGCTTGTTAACATTATACTAAGTTAATACTTTTAACTTCTAATATATAATTAAGAACTCTTATGTATGTGAGGAAGGCAACTCAAATTCCTCAAGCTTGATCACCCCTTTGAAAATTAATAACATTTTGACATCAGGCCCGGCCAGATAGCTCAGCAGACTAAAACACCTGCTTTGGGAGAGCGCAGTGGCCGAGGTTTGATCTTGGGCGTGCCTTGCCAGCTCCACCCCTGAGGAGCGCTGAGATGGAGATTGAGACAGGCGAGGTGGCACGCACCTGTAATCCCAGCATTTGGGAGGCTGAAAACTGGAGGATCACTTCAAGTCCAATCTACGTATAGTGAGACCCAGTAGACCCTGTCCTAAAATACCCCCCCCCAATTTTTTTGACATCAACAAAACAGCAATGAGTTCCTAACAGGTGTGAATTGTTTTAAGTAGGGGGTTCATTGAAGTAAGATTAGGTTTGGGCCGGGGGTATGCTTGAGAATAAAAATTAATTTAGGTTATGACGTAAAATTACCTTTTCTGTTTTAGCAGATTGTGTTTTTCTCAGTTCCACTACACTATGGCTGGTTTAAAGCAGAACCAGCAACTTCGATAGGATGCGCTCTTGTACTTCTTAAATGTCTCCGTTCCTCCCCCTGCTCTTTTGTTCCTAGAGAAATTTAACTATTATTTCTGCTCTCCAGTGGGGCTTGGAATAAGTTGTCAGTATTCTTTTACACTGACCATGTCAGGCTGGTTAGCTTACCTGTGGGTAAACACCTTCGTTAATTTCCTCACGGAAAGGTTAAGCGTTTTCCCAAGACCACATAGATCCAGGGAGTGGGCAGGAGGGACTCAAAGCGCCTGCTCTACCGTCACATTTCCATAGTTGCCTAAACTATCTCATTCGGAGCCCAGGGGCAGGGCACACAAGGGGCTCGGGAGGAACGCCCAAGAGGTGCAAGCCAGGAATTGGGAGAGGTGGCTTTCCCGGCATGCTCTGCAGCGCACCAAGGGGCGCCAGACTCATCCCGGCGTGCACCGGGGAGCGCCCAAGGGCGACGGTTCACGGCACCTGGAGGGGCCTGCGAAGTTAAGTCGGTAAGTGCGAGTTTATTTAGTTTTGGGACCCTGCTTCCTGTTTCCCCTTCATGGATACAACCCCACGAAGGCAGGAGAGGAGGGCCTCCGACAGTTGTTTCTCCCCGCGTGCGAAAGACTTGGGTCGCCGCTTCGAGCGCGGTGCCAGGTGATTAGCAAGGAGGGGCAGGCCCGCGAGCGGCACGTGACCAGGTCTGACAGCCAATCACTAGCCCCGCGGCCGGGCAGCGCGAGGATTCCCGACCCGGGAGCGGCGCGGCGCATGGGCCGGTCACCATCCGCCCCGGCAGGTACGCGCAGGCGCTTTTCTCGCCACGCGCTCCCACTGTCTCCGCACGCCCAGTGGCGTGTACTTGGCGCGAGGTGCTAAGAGGCTGTCGTGGCTGTTTCCTTGGGTAGGAGAACGGCGAGGGTGAGGGGGGGGCTTTGCGTCACGTGCGCGCTCCAGCCAATCGCAGACTGAAGCACACCTATTGCTTTCCCCGGCGCCCCGGGGTGCGACGTGTTCAGTGAGGTTCGGCCCAACCTTGCCAGTCTGCGCGGTCTTTCGAAGCGCGTGTACGGTCCGGAAAACTTGGCCGCTGCATTTTGTGGTGTTCCCCTCTGCCGAGTGCGCGGACGACAAGTCTCGGCAAAATGGCTGCTGGAAAGAGCCGCCTGCAGGGGCAGCGCCGAGGCCGCGTGAAGGTCACATGATGAGGTTGGCAGCGCGTGCTGCTGGCGCGGGGAAGGAGGCGGGGGGAGGGGCGTGGTGAATCACGTGCCCAAGACTGCGTGGCCGGGGGCTGGTCTCGGGAGGGCCTCAGCCATATGCCCTGCTTTTACCCCTCCCATGTCGAAGCGTGGCGAGCGTCGGCAGAAACAGCTTGATGCGTGCGCTGCTCCGAGGGAGTTGGGAGACCTGTGCTCCAGGCATTGCTTTAGTTTTGTAGTCTTCTCGTTAATGTTTTAGCTCTGTGGAGGGAATTCTCTTTTGAGGTCAGTAATTACCAGTACTTAACCGCAATTACATGTAGATAGCGACCAAAGTTAAGGTGGGCTGGGTTCGTACCTCAGTGGTGGAGTGCTTTCTTAGACTGGCAGAATGGCGGAGGTCCTCGGTTAGATCCCAAACAGTGAGCAAATGATTAACAATTATGAGCCCCTCCTACAGGCGACAAAAAGTCACAACTACCCATCCAATTATAGTGAGGTGGGGAGAATTGTAATCTGTTATAATCTGGGCATATCTATGTTTATAAATTCCCATTTATATTCTGTACCTGCCCACTACCTAATTGGAAAAATACTGTCTTTTAGACGTCTTAATTCCTACATTCCTTAAAATAATTTTCCTGTGTAGTTGCAAATGATTTATGAGGGTGGGGGGGATGGCTCAGTGGAGTAAGTGCTTCTCTGGCAAGCGAAAGTGCCTGAGTTCAATCCCCGGTTCCGCCAAAAAAAAAAAAAAAAAAAAAAAAAAGAGAAATGATTTATGCCCCTAAGGCTAACTAAAAGGGCTTTGAAGTCTTTTGAGGTAGGGTAACAGTCTTTATAACGTTGTGGTTTTGTTGTTGTTTTGTTTTTTTTGAAGGTCCCACTATGTAGTTAAAGCTGGCTTTAAATTCAAGGCAGTCTTTCTGCCTCTGCATTTGTGTTATAGGTTGTGTCACCACACCTGCCATACTTTCCTCAGTTTTTGCCCCCAAGGTCCCCCTATTCATTCTTCAACGCGAACTAAGCAAGCATAACAATATATTTGACATATCCCTTCTTATATTGTGTAATACTGTATAGTATCTTTTTTTTTTTTGCGGTACCGGGGATTGAACTCAGGGCTGTGCGCTTGCCAGGCAGGGGCTTATTCTTCTGAGCTATCTCTCCAGCCCCACTGCATGGTATCTTCTGATTTTAGACAGTCTCACTGTATAGTTCAGGCTGACTTTTAACTCAGCCCAGGTGGGCTCCTGGTCTGGAATTACAGGTGTGTATTACTAGGCCTGGATGATTTATCTTTAAGAGTTTAGCATTCATTTTAATAGTTGTCACTTTTGAATAGTTACAATTTAACATCTTTCTAGCATAGTGTAAATATTTTGTTTCTCCTTTCTGTGTTTTTTTATCTGTCTTTTACTTTGTAAATGCTGTATCACTGAGCAACATTTTATTTTGAGGCATAACATTGCATAGGGTGGGTTTGCAGTTTGTGTTCTTCCCATCTCTGACTCCTGAGTAGTTGGGACTCAGCCTAAGTACTTTGTGTTTCTGAATCATTTAGTTCTCCTACCAAGCCTGTGTGATAAGTCTGTTACATTTGTTGGTTTGTTTTTTTTTACATTTGTTTTTATTAGAGGAAAATACATTACCTAAAGGACACAACAATACATATATTTGGTAATTTTGCATGATCCCAGAGACTCCCCCTCCCTTTT